GCTTAAAAATGCGAAAAGCACAAATGATTTTCAAAATATTAAAAATATTTAAAAAATTTTTTAAAAGAATAAAAAACTAACCAAAGCGTTCATTGTTTCTTAGCTGACATATTTTTTGCATATTTCCCATTCGATAAATTTTCTATGAAAAAATTGCAAATTAAATTAAATAAATAAAATCGATTTAAATCAAAATTCGAGATTTCGAGAAAATTGAAAAAAATAAAAAATAATAAAAAAATTTCGTTTAGAAAAAAAATGCAAAAATACAAACGTGGAGAAAAGAAAATTTTCACACTAATAAATAAAAAACTAATTAAATTAAAATAAAATCGCAAAATTAAAGAACAAAATGAATCGAAAATAAGTATAAAATTAAAGGAAAAAATTTAAAAATAATTTTAAAATAATAATAATTCAAAAATTTTATTATTATTAAATTTCATTATTTATTAATAATTTTTTGGATCATTTTCCCCAATAAATTTTAAGAGATTTTTTAATTTTAATAATTCAAATTCAAAGAAAATTTAATTATTTTCAGCTTCTTGAGTAAATTAAATTTAAATTTTATTTATAAGTTAAGTCAGTTCAAATAAAATTTTAAAAAATCGCAGAATATTTTAAAAAATCCCGCGACCGCTGTTTTACGGAATTTTATTGTCCATTTTCGGTTTCTTCTAAGCTTTAGACTCGACGCCAGTTTTTTTTTTGGTGCATAAAATGTGCAAGAGGTGGCCATTTGTGAATAGGTTCGGTGCTTGAAATGGGTGGCTTCACTGGAAGTTGGTTTGGAAACAAAATTAAAGTTAAGCTGCTCAAAATTGTTGCTCGTCCTTACAGTTTTGGGTTGGCGATGATAAAGTCGTCGCTATAATCCATTATAATTTCAAATGGATAATGATAATTTAGAATAGCTTATAAAAAATTAAAAATATCGGAAAATTTCAAAACGTTCCGATGAATTGCTCTGAAAAATGAAAAGAAAAATGATCTGTTTGGTTACTCGATTTTTCGATTTAAATGATTTTTTTTGTTAGGCAACTCAAATATATATAATCATTTGACAGATTACAGCGTTCTTTGCAGAAATTCAGGTAATTCCTGGATTAATAGTCAAATGGCAGAACGGGTCCGCTTGTGGAAGAGATTTTGGATTTTGCGCAGCCATTGAAGTATGCATTAATCGAAGAAATTCGACTAAATCATTTAGCAATCATTTTCTTTTTACTTCGAACCTCCTTCGAAAACTTGCAACTAAGCTCAGACGAAATGAATTCGCCTGTAGCTGAAAATCTATTCCCGATGTCGATTTTTATCTAATTTTCGTTCTATATTAACGAAAACAACTTTAAAATCATGGAAAATGAAAAAAATTTGAAAGTGAAATGGAAAACGAGAAATCTATTCTACCAATTATATTCCCAATTTCTCGCGAAGTAAAAAAAATGTTAATTTTATTTATAAAACTTATTCACATGGTGTTCAGTGAACTACTATTATTGAATAAATAAGCAATGCATTATAAAACTAATACCGTTTGAATATAGCGACATAATAGCGAATTGGGAAATCTTAAACGACAAAATAGCGACGATCCAAAATTTAAAACGACAAAATAGCGTCGGTGCACTTTGATGATCTTATTGGTCAGTTCTACCACATTTCCAAAAAAACTCTTCCTTTTTTTGATAGTATTCCGAGCTTGAAGCAAGAAAAACTGGCTTTATAAGAATTTCCAAAGATGAATTCGGTTTTTTCTCCCTTACATTACCCTTACTTCACTAATAATTTCCTCAACTTCTGCTAGCTCACATAATATCTTTTATGATGTTCGATTTTGTTCCTTTAATGCTTTAACGATTTATTTTCAAATTTTCTTAGGTACCATTGCATCTCTTTGTTTAATGCCTTGTCAGATCGCATTGATGAATCCGTTCAAATTTCTATTGTTTTATTTTCATTTTTGTTGCAACACGAATTTCTGCTAGTCGATTTTTCAAATACTTTTTTCTGAAACGACAGTTCGAAAAATTGCAAAGCTAAGAAATAAAAATTTATTTATTGATTGATAAGCTACACTGATTAAAAAATAATTCGCAGCTTAATTTGGCAAACAATGAAAAAACAATGAAAAAAGCATAAATAATGTACAAAAATACACAATTTTTTTATGAGCTTCCGATTTTCCAATTTTTATCAGTCTTCTTTTGATATTGAATACGATTTGATTAAGGAAAACTATGAAGTCATCAAATATTCATCGAGAGCATCGAGCTGAACGGATCTGTGAATAATAACAGCTGAATTACAAATAGCTTCCAAAGTGGCTATTCAGTGTTACATATATCAAGGTAATACCCCGTCCTATCTATTGCTCTGCATATGTTTAAACCCCAGGCATTCACAAGAAGTGGATGCAGATGCAACCTCAATGGTTATTACTGTCGACGATAGCATCAAATGAAGCTTGGAAATGTCTTACTTATATAACCAGCTGACCTAACGACAAAAGTTGCTCAAAAAATGTGCAGGTCCTAGATCAAGGATACCATTCGCAATCTATAAGTATCGAATCGTACTGAATAAAGGGAAAACACCTAGGAAATGGAATTGATGGAAGTGAACTATAATGCACGGCAGACATACCGCTACAAGCATCTACCTTGCAGTCATATGGAAACTACGATGAGATGGGAAAAAAGGTGACAACACCTATGTATACCAATGAATTAGATGCTTGATGAACCAGCTCAATGGGAGTAAATGAAATCCATACCATAAACATGTAGTAAATACCAAATATGAAGACTGGAGTCTCCTCTGTCTGATGCCATCACTGATGATAGCAAAGCCATTTTTTTAAATTTAACAATGCATGTAGCAATGCCATCCTATATTGTTTGAAAATTTTCTGGTACAGCACTTCAAAGTGTTTGCAGGCATTTGCTAACTGATAATTCTTTTAAAAAAATAAATTGAATCTTTGTTGGTTCCGAAGCAATTTGAAGCTATTCTGAGCGCTTCACAATAGAGTCCATATCCATTGTGCTTATAACCGCTTGGCCAACGTCTTAAAAGAAGATCGACTTTAATTTGGTATCCCTGAAATGAGCTCTAAAAAATAAACAATGTGCGTGGTATTTTGTTAGTTTTTATGTAAATAAGTAAACAACACTGGTGGCAATGGAAACAATCACGTTAATAATAATATTTATGCCTAAGGCATTGCTGAGATTCGCTTCGCATTCATTAGTGAATAATTGAAGAAATTTAACGAAAACAGGGTTTATTTCTTACATTGATTGTTAGTAAATAATTAATTTATATTTTAGATATTTTTTTTTATAAATGGAAAAATTCGAATATTGTAATATTTTGGGAAAATCACTGGATAAATAGCGCCGGGAAAAAAATAAAAAATGACACAAAACTTTTATGAGAGGGTCCATGTAAGACAGCGTCGATGTCTCCACGAGTGCACCGAATGTTAATTTCGTCGCTGCCGAGCGTTTGCGAGACTGGAATATATTCTATGCAATTTATATATAATTAAATAGAGCCTGCTTAACTGTGAACGTCGATGTTTGGTTCGAATCCCTGCAGAGCTGAACGTGTAGAAAAATCCGGAAGGTGCAGTCGATTTACCTGCATTTTCTATCACCAAGAGATTCCATCGCATATTGCCCAATGCGATAAGCCAGTTTAACCAGTAATTGTGAGGACTCTTAAAAAAATTTACTTGCAATGATTAACTGGTTTTCAGCAATATTCACATTTTTTATTTGCACAGACAAAATTGTAATGCAAATTGCGTCGAAAGGACGATAAGAATCATTTTATTTGTGAGAATATGAAAGTACAATAATCTGAAAAGAAAAAAGAAATGTACTAATTTATTCCTTGTTGACTGATAATGATAATAATATGATAATGCCTAATAAGGCTGGGCTGACATTTTTTAGCATTATTAGCTTAAATTCATAAAAAGTGGAACTGATTAATAATGCAGAACTTAAAAAATAGAAAAATCCATAAAATTTCATTTATGTTCCAGAAATATGGATTATAAAGTTCGAAATACGTGTCAGCAGCCTCCCTATAGAATGTTGGCTCGACAATTGTGTCCACGAATGTGTGCGACATGTTGCTTGACTAAGGAATATAATTGTGATAACGGTAAAGTTCAAATGGTTTCATTATTATTTTTATATTGCTACTTCAACGAGGATTACTTGGGTTTCCTTATTTTTTCTGCACCTCACGCAAGATAGATGTTATTTCAAAAAAAAACTAAAAACTAAGATTATATGTTTAGTAGAACTTTGGAACTGTATTCACATTCAAAAATTATATTAATAATCTCAAAGAATGAAGAAGGCGTAATTATTCACAGGAAGTTCCATACAATTCAATTTAGAAAACTAAAAATATACTCAATTTCAGTCGGAGGCCGGGAAGGTCCATGCAGAAATTTTTCAAGGTCACTCTGTACTAGCATCCCAGATTTTGCTCTACGATTTTGCCCGCAGACTTGTGGTCATTTACCCGGCGCGGAAATGAGGCATTGCGCTGAGCTGGGAAGAAGCCTTCACAGCTTTAATAATATCGAAAAATTGGAAAGGAATTCGAATTCAAGAATTTTCCCATGCCAAATCGAAATTATCGTTTCATTAATTTTTCACAACAAAAACAATTGATTGACCTTCCTCGGTTTGAGTCAAAAGTTTTTGTAAAAATTACTTTCCATGTTTATTATCGCTTAGAAAATATAAAATTTGTTTAGTGAATTTCATAATTATATGTCCTTTGCACGCCAAATGAAATGAAGCAAATGTACTTCAAATTTCAAAAATCATGTTTGAACAGTTGAATGCAGTTTCAAGTAAGAGAATTCTTCAATAAATTTCCGGAATATGACTGAAATAACAACAACTGTATTTGCGGCTCATATATAGCCTTAAAATATTGGTCGAACGCAAATTATTTGACTAGTAAACATGTTCATTGCTTTGCTTATACTGGCATCGTTATGCAGTTTCACTAATGGAGCTGCTGTGGCAATAGATGTTTGCAATGTTCCTAAGCCAAGAATGGGACAAATGCCTGTGCAAAGACCTTCGGTACCTGTTGAGAACTGCCAAGATCGCGATCCATTGGCTTGTTTTGAATTATTCAAGCCTGAGGATAATAATCCTCAACTAGGGATGGTGCTCATGAATAACCAGATGGAGTAAGTTCCCCGCAATTTCCAGCTAAATCGAGGATTTCGAGATGTTATCTTATTCATTCCATATTTTAATCAAAAAATATCATATTTAATTGCGTGCACCTAAATTATGTTAAACCGTATTCAGATAATGAACCGATCATTAACTATGCATTTTGAATTCATTCTTATATTCTGGAAGATTCCTTGCATTTTCATTTTGACTTAAATTCACATATAATAAATCAAATTAAAAATTTAATAGAAAATTTAAAAAAAAGATATAAGAAAAACAAAAATGAAAAAGATCTGTTGCAGAAACGAGGATTATAAAGTTCGAGACACATGTCAACAGCCTCCCTATAGAATGTTGGCTCGGCAATTGTGTCCACGAACGTGCGCAACATGCTGCTTAACTAAAGAATATAACTGTGAAAATGGTAAAGTTTCTTTCATAAAATTTTTTTTTATGTAATTCAAATGGATTGAACAAAAATAGCGAAGATTGCTCGGATTTTTCCTTGGTCGCCAATTAGTATTTTTCGTAATTTCTTTCAACTTTCTTTCTTCGGTCATTTCATTAACGAAATGAAAATGAAAAAGAGAAGAGAAAATTTTGATTATAAGCCTTATAAGTGTCCAAAATTCAGTAGCAGGGTACTAAAAGTTATCTGCAACAACTATCTGCATAAGAATCTGCGGATTAGCATGGAAAATAAAAGTTACTATCGAAGAAGGAAAAAGATAAAAGGCACAATCTATGAAAAGATCATTAATTTCAGTTGGAGGTCGAGAAGGACCGATGAAAAGATCATTAATTTCAGTTGGAGGTCGAGAAGGACCGTGCAGAAACTTTTCAAGGTCACTCTGTACTAGCATCCCAGATTTTGCTCTACGATATTGCCCGCAGACTTGTGGTCTTTGTCATTTACCCGGTGCTGCAAACATGTGTCCTGATACTATCGATGGTTGCGACGTTTTAGTGCCACTGGGTGTTTGTACCAATGATAGATTAAAGAGCATGTGCCAGAGATCATGCAATTCACGCGACTGTTTATCAAGTAATCCGCAAAATTTTTTATAATTTATTCCAGAACTACAAGCCTATATTTTAGCATGGATTTTAGCGACAACTTTATCATCTCCAACACAAAATTGTAAAGACGAACGACAAGGCTGTGAAGCAATAAGAGCATCAAATAGTTGTGGTGGTGTATTTCGAACAACAATGATGCAACAATGCGCAAGAACTTGTGGTTATTGCACGTAGGCAGTAATTGAATTCAACTTCTTTCTAAATTATTTATCATATTTGTCTGATAAAGAAATTTGATAAACAGTCAATAAGCTTTCAGTAAACTTCAACATAATTTGAGCACATAAATCTTTCGAATATTCACTATTTGAGCTCAAATTGTCTCTTCTAAAGAAAAACCATTTGATTCACCATTACCTCTTTTTATTCTTATCTTTATTCGTACTGCTATATAGTTTATTAGCTTATCAATATTTATACAATATTTAGTTTATCAATCCAAACAGTATAGTGTTTTTCGATTATATAAAGGAGACGAGAAAAAGAAGTTGCGGCGTTGCAAAGTTTACATTTCAAAGCCTTTAGGTGTTCTTTGTTGCTTGGTTATTAGAATGAGTAAAATAAAAATAATAATCAAATTCTATAATAATAAAGTATTCGACCAATAAATCCTTGAATGGTATCTGATGAATTTATTCGAAATGAAATTTAATTTAATAAGATAAAATTTCCTTGTACATATTTTAATTTATAATATTCACGTGATAGCGGAATCGCNATTTTAGCGACAACTTTATCATCTCCAACACAAAATTGTAAAGACGAACGACAAGGCTGTGAAGCAATAAGAGCATCAAATAGTTGTGGCGGTGTATTTCGAACAACAATGATGCAACAGTGCGCAAGAACGTGTGGTTATTGCACGTAGGCAGTAATTGAATTCAACTTCTTTCTAAATTATTTATCATATTTCTCTGATAAAGAAATTTGATAAACAGTCAATAAGCTTTTAGTAAACTTCAACATAATTTGAGCATATAAATCTTTCGAACATTCACTATTTGAGCTCAAATTGTCTCTTCTAAAGAAAAACCATTTGATTCACCATTACCTCTTTTTATTCTTACCTTTATTTGTACTGCTATATAGTTTATTAGCTTATCAATATTTATACAATATTTAGTTTATCAATCCAAACAGTATAGTGTTTTTCGATTATATAAAGGAGACGAGAAAAAGAAGTTGCGGCTTTGCAAAGTTTACATTTCAAAGCCTTTAGGTGTTCTTTGTTGCTTGGTTATTAGAATGAGTAAAATAAAAATAATAATCAAATTCTATAATAATAAAGTATTCGACCAATAAATCCGTGAATGGTAACTGACGAATTTATTCGAAATGAAATTTAATTTAATAAGATAAAATTTCCTTGTACATATTTTAATTTATAATATTCACGTGATAGCGGAATCGCTTTCGAGTATTTCCTGTAAAACGTGAATTTTTCACGCAATTGTTGGCTTATTATTGATATACTATTGATATTATCTTTCACAAGAATCTTATTTTGCAGTTTTATGTTAACAAAAACTTCTGATATTTAAAGCTTTATAATTTTCACTTCGCAGATTTCTTGTAATTTGATGAGCTCATCTAAAATAAAACAACAAAGTGGGAAAATTTTGGCGCAAAAAAAAGAACAGCGAACATATTTAAATATATGAAAAATGGTTTTAAAAAAGGGAAAAAAATATGAAAAAAGCAAATTTCCTGAAGATTTCCAGTTTTTGGATTTTTAAAAACATTTTAAATACAATATTTTTATTTTCATTATTTTCTTTTTGAATATTCTTTGATTCCATTAGAATTTTGGCGAGGTTTACATAAATTCTCTTTTCATTATAGCATTATAATTATTTATTTATTATTATAATTTATATGAATTACCTTGAGCCTATCTCAGCAGCTTCATTAACACAAAGCGCTTTATTAAGTATATGATCGGCAATATTTTAAGATTCCATTACTCTCCGCAATTTGAGGCAAAAAGGTTAATTTTAATAAAATGCGATGGAAACAAGCAAAATTTGCTAGCATTAGTAAACTTTAAGCTTCACTGCGAGTTCCATGTAATTTGAAGAGAATCATAGCACGTCGATCCTTTACGTTAGTTGACCACAACTAAAAATACCATTTAGCCAAAACAATCATTTAGCAACAAAGTTTAGTTCATAGTATAACTAAAAAAATAAATTTATCTCGCTTTAATTCGATTCTTATTATATATTTCGATGTTTTGCGTCACGTCGAAATAAATATACTTATACAAATATACTAATATATAAATATACAGGAGTTAAAAAGTTGATAAAAACTTGACAAGTTGATAAGCGAAAAGCATTATTGAATGAAATTTTTTCCAAACTTTAAGTTTTTATCGGATTTTATCAATAATCAGCGTCATTGTCAAAATAATATAAATATTTTAAGAAAAAGTGGTAAAAATTAATTAAAATTTAATTAAATGATAATAATAAGAATGAAAGAAATAAATCATCACTGCACCATCGTACAGTTACTCTCTAATTTTTGCTGAGAATTTTTATTTTTTTCTTTTCTTCAGCTAAAGAATATTATTGTTTTTCATCCAAAAATATTATTTTTCATCGAAATAATTGTGCCACAATAAATAATATAATAATGAACTTAGCCTTGATTTTCTGCTTTCATACCCTTCAGTTTTATCTATTTCCGCATTTTGCGTCATTATACAATAAATATATTTTGAATAAATAGGCTAAAAATATTTGCTTATGAACACAATTCCGACCGATTTGATGAATTGAAGAGAGAAATTTTTTAATGGAATGAAGCAAATACAACCGTTTATTCCAAGCGGAAATAATTTTATGGAATCTGATTAGCATAAAATATTGCCGTCAGTTAAATGCATAATTGATAGATCGTTTTTTTCTTGCTTTACTGTTCAACTTTAATTTGATCTAAAAAATATCACTGTGTGATACAATTTTATGCATAAATAACGCCGTTGACAATAGAAACGAACTTATAATAATACTAATTATATTAATGCCAAAGGCAGTGTGCGATTTCACTTCAAATTCGTTGATGAGTAAATTAAAGAATTCATCGAAAACAACGATATTTCTTCACCCTTAATAATTAGTAAATTGTTGAATATTAAAATCAAACAATGAAATTTGTTCAGAAAGATTTTTTCTTCCTAAATCATGTATGAAAATAAGCAGAAATTTAGCGTTAAATTAATGAAATTGTCATAAGTCTATCGGCGCTATTATGTCGATTTAGATTTTCGATTGTCGCTATTTTGTCGCGTTTGACTGAATTTTTCTTGCTTTATTGTTCAATTTTGTGAGTAATTAACACCGCTGATAATTTGGTCTTCCTGCAAAGAGCTCTATTAAAAGGCAGTGAGTGGTACAATTGAATAAGCAAATAAACAACACCTCTGGTAACAGAAACGAACGAACGATAGTATTAACAATAATAATGCCTAAGGCACTGTTCGGTTTTACTTCACATTTTAATAAATAAAGAAATTCATCGAAAAGAACAATATTTCTTTATCTTTAAGAATTAGTAAATTTTTACGAATAAGGCAGAGTTTCTTCGGGAATTTAGCATTAAAGAATTCGGCTAATGAAATTGTTATAGGTTATCGTTGCTATTTTGTTGCTGCATTTAAACACCGACTTGATAATGCCTTAGCCATTTATTCAATTTCACTGAACTGAAGTCATCCACTGCAATTGAGTTATATAAATAATACTACTGGCAAAATAAATTTTCTGTTTTTTATTACATTTTCACTTTTTAATTTTAATTTTTATGTTTTAACTTGTTTTTATGAATATAATTGAAACCTTGATTTGTACCTTAATGACTTGTTTTTTAGCAGGAGAGTGGCGTAATACGCTGCAAGGTTCGTACTAGAAAAACGGCACACTTCATATATGATGAACGCATGAGGGTTTCACTGGTGCCAGAGTATTTCCGCATATCACTTCATTTACACTTTACGTACAATAATTATTTCAAATAATTATTATTTCAAATAAATAGCGTAAAACAAAACAACTTACTCATAAATAATTTATAATTTAAACATAATTTCAAAATATAATTAATAAGTATAATTTTAACAAAAATTGGTCGAATAAATGGATCGAATGGATCATTTTTAATTAAAATAAAGCAAAAACAATCGTTCATTTCAAGCACAAATGTTTTTGCGAAATTTATTCATGCATTCATTCAAGCGATGCATTCATTTGTCTGAGCCAAAGTTATTTGAAAATTTAGAATAGCTTTTCTTGGTTTAAATCAAAAATTGCTTTCAAAGCTATTATTATTATTTAAAGTGAAAAATTCGATTGAATTGAGTGATTTGATTGATTAAAGCTGTTTTGAATGGCTTCAGAAACCTTGCAAAAATTATGTTTGAACAGCAGACGATTTCAAGCGGAAGATTATCATCCAAAAATTTTAAAATTCGGTTAATGAGTAGGATTAATGATATCATAATTGCACGTCATTTGCACGCTTGTTGGTATGAAATAAATGTACTTCAAATTTCCAAAAATATGTTTGAGCACCTGAAGGCAATGTCGAGTATTTTTTTACTGGAATATAATCGAAATAGCAATTGTTTTTGCGGCTTATATATAGCTCAATTTACAAATCGGATGCAAATAATTTGACTAGTGAGCATGTTTGCTGGTTTGTTGCTTGTCCTAGCATCCTTATGCATTCATGCTAATGGAGATGATGCAGTTGCAATAGACGTTTGCAATATTCCAACGCCAGTAATGGGAGCGCCTGCTCCCGTGCAAAGACCTTCAGTGCCTGTTGACAACTGTCAAGATCGTGATGTATTGGCATGTTTTGAAATATTCAAACCTCAGGACGACCCTGGGATGCTTGGGATGGTACTCAATCAGAATCGTATGGAGTGAGTTTCTGGCCATTTAAATTATGTTTCGCATTATTTTACGCTCATTTATTTCTACAATACTTTAAATAATAACTGAAAAAATTTAAATTCCTCCTTTATTTTTATAACTAAAAGCCGTTTCATTATGAATGGCATTTTCATTGAAGATCCATCGTATTCAACTTAATTTTTGTGACAAAACATTCATATTTTCTGGAAGGAAATTCTATTTTTTGCGCTACATATTAAATTAAATTCATAGAAAATCCCCCAGCAATAATAGAAAATTTAAGAAATAAGAATAAAATTTCGATTCCAATATGATTTCTTTCATGTGTTGTAGAAATATGGATTATAAAGTGCGAAACAAATGTCAACAGCCTCCTTATAGAATGTTGGCTCGGCAACTGTGTCCACGAATGTGCGCGACGTGTTGCTTGACTAAGGAATATAACTGTGAAAATGGTAAATATTTCACAGTTATCATTTTTATGAAATAGCTAAATTCAACAAGGATCGCTTCGATTTCTTCATTTCTCCTGCATTTTTATTACTTTTTATTACTTATATTTCATAGATATTATTTGAAAAAAAGAACTAAAATTAAAGACTAAAGAATTAAAGTAATAATGGAGTAAGTTGAAGAAAAAAACTAAAAATACACCCAATTTCAGTTGGAGGTCGGGAAGGACCCTGCAGAAATTTTTCAAGGTCACTCTGTACTAGCGTCCCAGATTTTGCTCTACGATTTTGCCCACAGACTTGCGGTCTTTGTCATTTACCCGGTGCTGCAAACATGTGTCCGGACACTATTGATGGTTGCGATATTTTGGTGCCACTGGGTGTTTGTACAAATGACAGATTAAAGAGCATGTGCCAAAGATCATGCAATTCACGCGAGTGTTTGTCAAGTAATTTCCGGAATTTTTTATTCCAGAAATTAGAAATGAGAGATTTGGAATTGCATGGAGTTTGTAAAAATTAAAGTTTTTCACGGATTTTAGCGACAACTTTATCATCTCCAACACAAAATTGTAAAGACGAACGACAAGGCTGTGCAGCAATAAGAGCATCGAACAGTTGCGGCGGTGTATTTCGAATAACAATGATGCAACAATGCGCAAGAACGTGTGGTTATTGCACGTAATTATTTAATTTCATGAAATATATGTGAATATTGCAATCCATTTCGCATTTTTAATAAAGAAATTCGCTAAACAAGTTTAAAAAGCTTTGGACGTAAATTTATTGCAATCATAGGCCACATAATTCAAATGCCCATATCTTATTTGAACAATCGTTAATGTCCATCGAAATCGAATTATTTATTTCCTTCTTCACTTTTGCTTTCTAATCATTCCGAAAACAACTGTAATTGATTGATCATTTGCGATTTTCATCCTTGCATCTCTGTGATATCGCAGTAATCCTCCCATATAGCAACAATATTGCTTGAGGAATCGGCGCTCTAGGTGAAAAGCAAAGGGAAATTTTCAATTTGTGAAATTCCTATTTCAGTTGTTTTGAGAAATGATTAGGCTGCTTGATTATTTGACGTTGTAATCTAATCCATAAATCCATTGAAATTTTTCTTAAATATTTATTAAAAAATTTAATATGGCAAATTTTTTGATATGTTTTTATTGAATTTTATTGGCCTTTACAAGAGGATAAGTCTTTATGAGAAAGAATTATATAGTGCCAAAAAATAAGTTTTGTTCTTACTGCAGCAAAATAGAATGCTGAGGAAATTTTTCCAGGAGTAGAAATTCCAATCAGCCAATGCTGGGTAAATTTCTGAGAGGCATCAGCTCTGTCGTCAATAGACGGAATAATAATATACAATTTTTGAAATGAATAACTATGAAATGAAAAGTTGATTTCTATTTCCGCTTACAAATGCTCTCAAGCCAGAGTGCTCTAAAACACGCAAATATTTTTAAAGCAAACAATCATTTATATGTTTTGAAAAGCGACCGACATCGAGTCGCAGCTCATGGTTCTATCCATCAAAGTGGAAATTTAGCAAATTGACCTATCAGCATCGCCTAAATTTTTTAACGATTTTTAATGGAAATTTTATGGATATGGAAATTTAGAGGTAGGTTAGCTCCCGAGGAACAACCCCAAAGGAAGCAAGGCTATCCCACCTCTTCCCTCCAAAATGGTAGTATAATAATTATAAATAATTATACTGCTATTCAACGTTTAAAATAAATCTTTGAAATATTATTATAAAATATAGAAATATTTAATATTAATATAAAAATAGCAAAATCATTTCCAAAATTGCATTAATACGAATGAATAAATAAAAAATAAAAAAAATTAAAACAAATGAAGATAAAAGAAGATTTAAGAACGAAAGAACGTACATAAGAAACAATGTTCATTCGATAATAATGGTTTTTGAAGATTTTTTATGGGCATTTTTAATAAAAATTTGTGATAAAATTTTAAAAAATTCTAAATATCATAACTAAATAATAATTGAATGATAGCAGTGATAGCGATGATAGCAATGAATGAAGAAATCCATTCTGTAAGCTAAATTGTTGTAGTTAGTAATTTTTGTTCGAACTTTGTTTATATCTATAGTTTTAATAATTTATTTAATTAATAATAAATATTTTAATAATTTATAGGACGAAAAATAATGCTGCACTAAGCATTGATACAAATAAATGAAAATTTAATAGTTTCTTTTTTTAATATATTCATTTAATTATGTGAATATTGTGCAAAAATTGTCGGAAATCATTAATTTGTAATAATTCTTAAATTATTGAAGTTGATAAAATTTGATAATTTTTTTATATTGTATTGGTCAATTTTTCTTCTTCAAGACATTTTGCAAAAATTTTCATACGATTTATTCCTTAAATTTGGAGGTTTCATGCTTATAAAAAATGTATAATATATAAGAATAACAAAGTTAGAAAAGTCATAAAATTTTTCCTTCCATCCAGAAAAATATTTAAAGGTTGAAATATTTTTGAAATTATTACTATTCACTGTTTAAAACAAATATTTAAAATATTAGACAACAATTATTATAAAATTTAAAAATAATTAATAAAGAAATGGACAAATAATTTCTAAAATTTCGTTAATACGAATGAATAAAAAAATTGAAAATAAAATAAAAACAAAAAAACAATTGAAAATGAAAGAAGATTTACGAAAGAACGTAAGAAACATTGTTTACAAATACTATTCGATAAAAAATTTTCTAAAATGATCGGAAAAATTTACAATATTAGTCGAAAAAAATTTTTCTAAAAATTTAGTATTTCAATTTTTTAAACAATTCTTTATTAATCATATGCAGTAAATAAAATAAAATCAGTTGAATTGATCAATTGATTTTTCGAAATTAAAAAAAATTAGCAAATTTTTCTTAAAAATTTCTAAATATTTTATAATCTCGCAAAATAATTTTCAATAAAAATCAAAAAATCATCTAACAATTGATAATTGATAAACATTATAATACAAAATAGATTTAAGTGAATCAATGAATAATGAGTAATTTGTAGTATGAAAGTATATGTCGCTAAACCTATGTCTCAGTTGAAAAATAATATGGCCTGAGCCAGCATGGCCAATGCGTATTATTGAGTGAAATTTTTTTTTTTAAAGGAAAATTTGCTAAATTTGAATAAATATAATCAAAATTAGCCAATAGCTCCTTTATGAGTTAAAAATTCAAGTAAAGTTTCAATTTCAACATTAATATTTGCTGTTGCTCGTCTTATTCGTTGAGCTATTTCATTAGTTTCGCTATCATCGAAAGAACGACCACAAAATGAGGCAACCATCGCTTGTGCATGAGCATCTTCACTAAAATTTTATAGTAGATTATAGCAAATATAGCAAATATTTTTAGTAGGCAATTATAATAAAATAGATGAATTTTTTATAAAATATAGTAATGAAACGCATTCAAATTATTTAATAATATTCAGAAAAATTGTATTTGCAAAAATTGTAAAAAAACGAAATTATATTTTATTTTAAAATTGAGAAAAAATTTCCAACCTCGCAACAGACATATTACTTCCAATTTTATTTTTATCACTTGTATGCCTTAATAGAAGTTTATCGCGAAGTTCCAACATATCGATAAAACTACGTCTCTTACTTGGCGTTGAACGAATTTTATGCGGTGTAGCCGTGAGATCGAGCTAAAAAAAAAATCTGCACAGATTAGCATTAGCATATCAATTAAATTCCATGCAAATCAATCATTAGTAGTGATATTTTTTGAATAATAGAATAAATTTTGTGAAAGCTTATGAACAATTCAGCGGAACTAAGTTAAGATTTGAAATTACCTAAATCCTATTTTGAAAGAATAAAAAGAAGAGGAAAAGGCTTTCAATAAAGAATTTAAAGAACTAAATCTATGCTTCTATATGCCATTTAATTATTTGCCATTCACATTTCTTAGAAACTACTGCTCTTGGAATTCAATTAACAGACCAGCTTAAGTGCTTCATTTAATTCGCTACATTTCGTTCGAATTTCCGAATAATGAAGAATTGTGTTCTTAACAATTTCATGAATTTCAGCAACCCAAAATTTCATTGACAAGCCAAGAGCTCGTCGACATTCATTAATGAATGATTGTGATTGAGCTACAGCTTTATCCAATTTGTGATTATTCCATAACTGAAAAGGAATTTTATATTTTCTATATTATCGAAAATCTATGAAATAGATTTAAAACGATGGCTCTTTTTTCTTTCAAGAGCTCATCATTTCGCTCAACCAGGGAATTATTTGGCTTAAAATGCGGAGTTGCCCGCATCACTCGGATTTTCGGAAGGAAGGATGTTTATTCCTGCCACAATATAGAATTTCAGCATTGGTAATCCGAAATGAGATCGATAGCCTACCGAGTCATTCTGCACCTAAGATGGCTCATTTATGAAATTTTGTTCACTTTATTGGTCTATAATAACTGATTGAAATTTCCTTACAACAATCGCTTATTTTGTAACATTCAAGTTTATGAACTGAAGCATATTATACCGCGCCGCTTGGAAGCGTCTTATCCTTGTAACCGCTGGATCCAGCCTAACCAGTAGTGGTGAGAGCTATCAGAAGAAGAAACATACTATAGTATTAAATAAAATGGCCGTATTAATCGTGAAATTGATCGGTATCAAAATGATTGCTTAGAAATGATTCCCATTTATCAACTCTTATCATTATTTCTAAAAAGTTAAGATAATAGAGCGATTATACTGGTCAAGATTTAGCTAAATAAGAACAACTAGCCAAAAAAATGTTGCATATCAATTAGCGCTTTTTTTCTTTAAGTGCCCTTCTGACTAAAAGATTCTGCCGCACTGGTTAGTGAAGCCAGCTATACCAGCAAAAATTTTAAAAGATCATTATTTGTTTAACTGAATAAATATTAGAAATTGATAATTCATAGTTTACCTGCAAATATTCTCCTTTATGTTCATGAGGTGACCAATCCATTACTGTTGACCAATCTTTCATTAATAATGGTTCAACCTAAATATAATCGCTTCGCTTTAATAATATTTTTATTCATCTTATTTCCAAAATATTTTTAAAATTTACAAATCTTTAATAAATTTTTGCATGATGTTTGCATAAAAAAGACTAATTTAGTCGGAGAATGAGTATATTTTTTTTCTATAGATAAATATAGAAAATTTTCAAGAGTTTTAAGAAAACCTTGATGCCAGCTTGTAGCATACATAATATTCCTTGTTTCGTATACAAATCGCCACGATTTAAATGTGGATATAGAAATTTTACGGTCATTCTCACATCAACTTTACTCAATTCTTTACGGATTTTTGAGAGAAGTAATCCAAGCAATTTCGCGCAAGCTTTATTACAACGACATTCGTCGACAACTTCACATTTCGGATCGCAATCCTGGTGGAAGCACGGACTTTTTGAGACGTAAATCACCACTTCGTTTAAGTCAACCTGCTAATTATGATTGTAATTTTTTGATAAAAATTCTATAAATATGTAAAAACGTGCATATTCCTTCTATAAGACGAAACAGAGCGATTTAATAAAAGCTTTACTAAATTTTCTGGCTTTATTCTTTACTAAAATCCAATAAATACACCTTGTACTTCGAGATGAGGTCATAGATAGCAGCAACTAATTGCTCTTCGACATGAGGTTCACTTTTGCTTTCATGATAAAAATCACCACGATAGATATAATCATCACCAATAAGTGTGACTATCAGCCCACTACTTTCATTTTTATGTTCCAGATAACAGCTTTGAACATGCTTCGGAATACGAAATTTTGATGGTCCATTTGTACAATCTCCACCACATTTACAGCTGATTTGAAAAAAAAAAAATTCTATGCTTTTACTGGCAATAAAAAAAATTTTTTATTAATTGGTACCTCAGAATGTGATTGACACTCAATTTATTGCTATGTTCATGTATGAACTAATGTTTCAAGAATCATTGATTTGAAAATATTTATAAGAGATTTTTTGCAACATCGTTATGCAATACTGTGTGGTATGCAAAAATCTCTGAACAAAATTTGATAATTTGATAATCTTTAAAATACGAAAAGATTCTTTAAAACTAAAAGGATGGAAAAAGGATATTTAAATATAGGCATAATTATTAAATTTTATTATAAAAAATAGAATTTAAAAATAATTGAAACAATGAAGTAATATCCTCTAAATATTTGAGAATAGCCATTTATGCGGATGAGAGAAATTTCCGTATATATGGAAATTTACTAGTACCAATCTTTTCTTGTTATAGCCATAAATTTGGTATAGAATCCAATTTTGTTGGTAAATATTATATTAATATTATTAATAATAATTATATTATATATCAATAAAAAAATAATAATAATAATGATAAAAATAATGATAACAGTGGTGATGATAACAAAAAAAAAGTTATAACAAAGATAACAAAGATGATAAGTAAAAAAGAATAATAAACGGAATTAAAAATGATTTTATTTATTTATTAAAGGTTAAAATTTATGGGCTAAAAAATTCTATGATTGGAGATTTTCAAAAGTTCATATTCTCATGCAAAATTGCTAAAATTACGAAGGGAGAATTGAAAAGAATTTTAGGGCGTAAATTTTCCTAATTTTTCCCTAATTTATTGACACTATTATATGAACCAATCAAACCAATCGTGTTGGAAGTTAAATTTAATTTTAACAAAGCCATTAGACATTTTTCTTTTAAAATCCACGCAATCTGATCAGTAATTATGATCTCTCTAAATCTCTTTTTTAGCATTTTAGCATTTTTTTTAAAATTTAATTTCCAATTTCAAAAGCGATAAAAAATTTTTTTAGCCATCGAAACAAAGAAAATAAAATAGGTGATATTGTTCCGACCGATATCAAATATTTTTATTCTATTGAAAACCAACCAAGGAGAGCAGCAAGCGCCAAGTGCTTACATTAATAACAACAGTTAAAATAATAAATAATGGAAATTAGTGATAAAAAAAGGAAAATATGATAAAATTAATAAAATAAAGAGCAGTTACAAAATAGTACAATTCGAAGTGAAAAATGTATTATTTATATATATTCGAATGCTAAAAATCAAGATTTCAAATTTCTTGCCCAATGTGAATTTTTTAAATAATATTATCATAAATGATCTTATCAAATCTTTTTTTAAAATAAAAATAACTAAGGATGACGCACAAATTACAACATTCGGTAGTTTATTCCAGTAATTATTAGTACGAATAAGTGAATCATAAGCCCTTAGTTTAGTTTAGTTTTGCATATAGATTTCAGCAATTTTAGCCTATTGGTGACAGTTCTTTAGAAAGTATTAAAAATTTATCATTAAAGATGAATTGTTCCAAATGATGTTGAAATTCAACTTTTCTTTCTTCTTCACATTTTAAATAAAATAAAGAAAACCTCAACTTTAGATAATTTAATTTCAATTATAAAATATACATAAGTGCTTTACCTGCTATTACAAAATTCGTAAATACTTCGACATACGCATTCCTTCTTTACGCATTGCTTTTTCGTTTTGGCGCATTGGCAACCTTGTGATGGTTTTATTACCTCAAAAAATTATTATTTTTAGGCCAATCAATTTATGCAAATCTAATTAAATAAGCTTAAAAGATGTCATTTATTTCGCTTTAAACAAAAAAGAAGAAAATTGCATGGTTAATACTCGTGGGAGGCGATGAAAGGCAACTTTTTCTCGTGCATAAATAATTTTCATCCATCATTCATTTATGTCATTTTTTTCTTTTTTGATGAATAAAAAAAAAATGTTTTTTTCACCTTTTTAAGCATAAAATGACAATTATTGACAAATGACAATATTTGGTATATTCAAATAAAATAAAAGCGATTTTTCGATTTAAAAAAAAAAAAAAATTTAACGATTATTGAAAAATTTAATTTACTTTAATTAATTTCCTAGTCGTCTCCTTATTTTTGCATATTTGTTTACAAGCGCATAATTTACTGCAAGATTCTTTTATACGTAGGCAGTCACATCGCTCCGATTTCGTACAGGCATTTTTAGCTGGTTTTGTACTATCGACTTCGCATGAGCATTTGCATATTGCTTGATTAAGGCAATCACCGCGATATCTATAATTCATTCCAAATGAATGATTAAAAATTATAAAATATACGAAAAAATATTTTATTTAAAAAATCAAGTTTTTTATTTTACTAAATAATTCTATAGAAAAATTAGCATAAATTTTTTGCGAAATTAGAAATTGGATATTGTAAGCTAAAAAATTTGTATCGTTTATTTTATTTCGATTTTCAAAACGATCGTCTTTTTCTCTTATTAAAAGGGTTGATGATTAGATGTAGTGGTAGGATCATTCATAGAGTGAGGGTCATCTTAGAAGCCTAACCAAATTAACTAGACGCCTATATTGGATAGCAGCGATACGTTATTAGAAGTATATGAGTATCACTGATTTATATTGAGAGAAGGTGGTGAGCTATGTTTTAATTCAAGAAAACCCACTTGGATAGAAAATATGAAATTATCGATGATGTAAAGCTGAAATAAAGGATGGGCCTTTCGGAATACTAATGGTATTTATCATGGGAATAGATCAAAGTCATCGCAACGACTGGTTTTTGTTGTTGATATCAGATGTTGCGATGATGAAAATGTAGCAGATATATATGAAACATTAAAAGCATTTGAGACTAAAGAAAGTGAAAGATGAGCTGCATAGGCTACGATATAAACAGCGGCATTAGCAAATTGCGATTCACTGGTATGGGACATTTTCAGAAAGAAAATTATCTATTAATGTATGGAAAGTAAAGAAGCAATGGGGTTGTTCATATATATCAGCAAAAAATTAAAATATTTGGCTATAATACTATCAATTAGGCCTTTGAATATGGCAATTATACTTCAGTGTCACTAGTGCAAAAAGAATAGAAGTTTAGTGATTTCTTTAATGAAATTCACTTTCATAAAATTGACAGAACAAGAAGTGTTATGAATTATTAGTGACGCAAAAGTTGGAGAGATAGACTTTTTTAATTTTTAATTTTTGTCGCTTTTTCATATGCTTCTAAACATTATCAGATGGAATATGCAGAAATATGCAAATTGATTATATCATTATTTGTTAAATATTCTTGAAAGTGACTTAGTTGTAGGGAAAAAAATCATGGCCAGGTACTGACTGTGAAACTATGGGGCTGTTCGACGAACTGCTTTTCTACAATATATATATGCCCATCATTTTCAAGCAGAAGACCGTTGTGGAAATGAAGAAAATAAAAAAATCAAATCAATTTAATATTAGAATAACTTAAATAACTTAAATAATTGATAATAGAAATCGGCTTTTTTAAACAACTTTATCAATTGTTAGAACAAATGGTGAAAATTAGGGAATTTATTTTTATATATACTAACTGAAAAAGCGACTTAAAATATGTTCAATAATGTTTCAAAATGTTTAAAATTTCCAAAAATAATAAAAAATTATAAAAATTATAACAAAAAATTTTGCTTTATTTTATTTTATTTACGCAAATAATGATTAATAGCCTCTAAAAATAAACTTTTATTAAAATCAAGTCACATTATTTTAAATTTAAAATTTAACAAAAACGAAATAAAATATGCCTTTTATAGAGTAATAACCGATGGTGAATGCCTTAAAATATTGTCCTTTGGATTCTTCTTTATTTGAGGAAAAGGCGACTTTTTCATTAGACTATTTATTATTATATATTAAATATTCATAAAATAGGACTGAAAGGCGGAATAAAATGCTAATATCTTGTATTTATTATTTTTAATCCCTTCGAGGCTTAATTGAGTTCAAAGCGATATAGCTTATTATCCTACATATTTTATATATATATATATAATTTTTAAGCAAAATTTAATCAAATCTATTAGGGAATATAAAAATATCTCATAAAGATTTTCAATTATTTATTATTTTTATTAAAAATAATATCAATAATTAATAATAAAAATCGGCCATTCTTTATCATCTCATCAAGTTTTTTGTCATTTCATTATTTTTTTTTGTAATTTTGTAATTTGTAAATTTTAAAATTTATAAAAATTTTATTCGAAAATCTTATTATTTTTATTATGAAAAATCGATGCTTTTTGGTTATTTTAAAAATTTTAAAGTGAAATATTGTTACAATTATAACCATACCTAAGGTCCCAGGGAGATTTGAACTCCCGTCGCAGGATTCAGAGTCCTGATTAGACTCGCTCTACTGGCTTGTCGCATTGGGCAATACGCCAGGGAGTCCCTTGGCGATAGAAATACAGGTGAATCGCGGCATCACTCGGATTTTTGTACAGGTTTACTCCTGCGGGGAATCGAACCCCAGCATCAGCGCTCCCAATTGAACAACCCATATGATTTCAAAATCTTTCAACAGCACTTATTTACTTTAAAATTTTAAAATTTATTTCGTTGGTATCATTTATAATAAATTTAAAAAAATTATTCTTACAAATATAAATATATTAATACATAAATATTAAAAAATTATTCTTTTCTAGCGATTCACCTGTACACCATTTATTTCCAAACGATTTCCTGGTATAATGCAATAAGAAGTCAGAGGAGCCATTAATGAGTGCTCTTTAAAAATTAAAGAATGAGAAAGCATATCCTATACAAAGTATCAAATGTTTTTAATAATAAAATTTAAATATAGATAGAAAATTATTTCGAAAATTACCATAATTATTACAACCACTTTCTTATTTAAATAATTACTTTCATGATTAATGTGGTGGCGCTTTAAAATACTAATCGTAATTATTAAATATCATTTAATTTAATTTAGAAAAAAATTTTGATAAGTAAAGAAATATTAAAAAATCATATGAGATTATTACTAATAGTTTACTAAATCACTAAACAAAATAATAAAATTCTAAGCATCTTTAATATTTGCAAAATTTTGCTCAAAAAATTCATATTTTAAAAAGACAATAAATTTTATAAAAATACTTCAAATAAGTTTAACCAATTTTTAATTTGATTTCTATGAAATTTTCATTTCATTTTTTCCCATTCAATTTTTTAGTAATTCACTTTTAATTAAAAATGTGATTTAGTATGATCGCTTTCTAATAACAATAAACTTCTATTATTTTGGAACGAAAATTCCGCCTATCTTTTTATCATTTTCACTGATATAATCAAAAAAGATTTTGAATGTATAGGTGGACTACCGACATATTATGGACATAGACGAAAGAAAAAGGAATGGCTTCTATTACTTCTATTGTTGTCAACGACATCGTCTTATCAGCAATTACCTATCACGAATCTATGATTTATATTATAGCGTATATGCCTATATTATAATGTAAATGTCCAAAAGTATATTGTTAATGAAGATCAAATCAGTTCAATTCAATTTCTCTTTTGCAGAAGAATAACTAAGATTTGAATTATGTTCCAAATGTTTCCTTAAATATTTAAAGTAATTATTTGCCATAATTTTAAAAATACTTTTTTTTACATTAATTTCAATCTCAATAGCGATAAATGCGGATTATCTTAAATATACTGAAATATTTGGTACTTTATAGGTACTTCTGTCGATATCTGACTCTCTCTCGCAAAAATTGTATTCTAGCAAATCATTAGTATTTTTCGCTATTATTTATATGTTTTAGCTATTATTTATTTATTGTTATAAGTTAAAATTTAACTAAAATGATAATAATAAATAATAGCTAAAACTTTTAAACTGACAAATAAATCACAGATAAGCAATAACCCATTAAGCTATTCCACTTGAAAAACCATTTACTTAACCACTAAAATTTTCTAATTTTTAATAAACGATAATGAGAAAATCCATTGAAAAGAAAAAAGAAAACATAGAGAAATATTTAAATAAATAATTCTACTTGAATATCAGCAATAACAATTATTCGAAATGAATTCGAAAATATAAAAAATTCATTAAGATTAAAAAGAAAAAAAAAATTTGCAATGAATATTAATTAGTAAGTTAGGATTACCTGGCAGATTCGCAATGTTCATCGCACATACGACGTGCAGCAAAGCACGGGCACGAATCGACGGCACATCGATTCAGAGTCGCGACACATTCACAGCAATAATGAGATACGGCCGGTTTGCTCATGGTTGAAGCCGCCTCTGTGCTTAAGATCGATACATCAGCCCTTGAATTGTCCAATGTCTCTTTGAACTGAGCACGAGCCATACTCTCCCACTAAAAAATCCATACACCATTTAGTCAACAGAATCCTATTTATGTTATTCTTATTTAATGCCTCCTCTAACAAATAAAAAAAATTTGTACTAATTCTCTAGTTCGCTTTTTTTAACACTTAAAAAATTGCATGAATAAATTATTCAATAATTTTTAACGATTTTTCATTCGTAATCTTTTAATTTCGTCACTAAAAGAAGTAAATTCTAAAAGAAGTAAATTTGCTTAAATGAATCAACTTTCTTTCATCAAATTTTATAATATTTATAATATATATTATATATATTATAAATTGTATAAATTATATATACTATATATTTAATATATACTATATTATTTTATTTATTACTATATTATATTATTATATATTATATTATAAAAATGGCTTATTGGATTACTACTCAATTCGGAGCGCCGATACTGAGGTTTTATTTCTCGCAGGAGTAAACCTAAAGCACGGATGGTGCTGGCAATTCACCTTGTATTTCTATCACCAAGGGATATTTCCCTGGCATATTTGCCCAGTACGACAAGCCAATGGAGAGAGTTCAACAAGTAATGGTGAAAACTCTTAAAAATATATCTAAAAATATATATATATATATAAATATAATGAAATATATATGTATATGAATTTTAGACATTTAATTTTTCTTAAATATTGTAAAATAATTCTTTTTTTTCAAAAATTAAAGTATTTAAGAATTAAATAATTTGATTTATTCAGTCATAAATTTAGTTAATGGTAAAAGCGATAAAATTCAATGACAAAGCGATAAAATCATCGTTGATTTTTTTGCGGATTTTGTTGTGATTTTGCAGATTGAGTTTAATGCATTAAAAATTAGGTAATTAATCGTTCATTTTTGATTTCTCACATATATATTTTACTTTGAATTTTAAGTGTAGATAAATTTTTCGTATCCTCGATAATTTACTGATAAAAAAAATTAAGTGGAAATTATTTTCTTTTTATGGAAAATGCTAAGAAATTACCATCGTAATATTGATAATGATAATGATAATAACGATGAACGGCAACACCAAATGTTAACAGTGATAACAAAAATGATAAATACATGAGAAAAAATGATAAATGATAAAAAATGATAAATAATGAAAAATAATAGTTATAATAATAATAATAATAATAATTGAAAAAACGGAAAATGAAAAATGGAAAATAAATGAAAATAAGGAGACATGCATGATTGGCCCTTTTTTCATTTTTGATCTTAGATAAAGAAAAAAAATTTTTTTTGATTGATGGCAAGAAAACATGTGGAAAAAAAAGTGAAAAATAAGTCAATCTTATCAAGGATGTGCATAAATAAGTTTTATATTAATTCTATAATAACATTTGCAATGATTACTTTAATACTGTGCGAAATTCTACGACTACTTTTGGCTATCTTCACATATTAGAGATAAAAAAATTTTCATCAAAATTCCATTAATTACCAAAATTACCGTAGAATATTTCTTTCAGATATATTTCCAGGATAAAATCTAATTGATTTTTAAATATTCTCTCGAATAAACCACTATTTCTTGGATTTTTTTACGCAAAAATTTCTATTTATCAATTCGAGAGAATTATATGCTCTAAGGCTATTTTTAGTAGAAAAAAGAAGAAAATGCTTGTAAAAAAATTTGGATTCATAATTATCCGCATTATCTATACGCCTTTAATTATAATAATCAGATCATGAAAAATTGCTATTTTGCCTTTGAATAATAATTATTGAAGGATAAAACGGCTAATGCTGCATTACTACAACTGATGATTGGAAAATTCGTTATATTCATCGAAATACGCACATATTATAAACTCATTTGTGCATTCTTAAAATATGATTTGTAACGAATTTTTTCTCATATATTCTATTCAATTCTAATGCTTTAATTTTGAAAAAATTTTCAAAGGAAATACAAAAAAAAAATATTTATAAAAAAATTATAAATATGTCTATAAACAAAATTATTTAAAATATAAATAAGAATATTAACCAAAAAAATCAAATTTTTATTAATTTTTTTATTCAAATTTTTTAGACGATTATCAAAAAAATGACTAAATTTAACTAAAATATTGCTAAATTCTATTAAAATATTCATTGCGAATATTTCATACAGGAAATAGTGAATTAATGCCATAGTTTACTATAAAAAAAAGCGAAAAAAAGAAATCCCATAGAGATTTACAAATCTTTTTTTTGCAAATTTTCATCAATTTATCTAAATAAAAGAAATTGTCTAATTCAATACGATAAAAAGTCATAGTTGACAGGATTTGAAGCTTTTTTCTCGAAATTTTTATTTAAATTTAATTTTAATTTAATTTTTTAAAAGAAAATTATAATTGAAGTAAAAGTAAACAAGGAAATAAACCGATATAAACTTAAAAAAATTAGTTAATTTTTACAATTTTTCAACATTTTGTTAAGCTAAAAGAATGGTTTTGCTGATCTGTGACACATTAAATTTACTTTAAATCCGATTTAATAGATAAAAGTTTGAATGGTGTTTGGAATGAGAATTTTTTCAAAAAATTAATGAATTTAAATGAAATAAAAAATTATGCTTAATTATCTCGTTATATTGCAATAAATAGTGAGGTAATTGATAATTTAATAATGACAATGATAAAAATAGTAATAATAATGTTAGAAATAAAAAATAAATTAGCCATTTTTGATTTGGTCTTGACTTTATTTAATCATAATAACTTTTAGTTTTCTTATTTTTTATATATCCTTATTTTTAATATTTATTTTATTTATTAACTATTAATATTTTAATATTTTATTTTAATATTCTATAATGCTAACATTTTATGAAAATGTTTTATACTGCACTGTTATAAACGTATCACTGTTATTATACTTTATTGCCTTCGTTAAATAAATTCAGCAAAATAAAAATTTTTAAAAATTCAAATTTTAAAAATTTTTAAAGATATAAATTTCGAAAAATCTAATAAAATGATTTTGAAAATAGAAATACAAAAATATAAATGAAAAAATGAATAATATTGCGAAAAATAATATTAATAATACGCTTTTATTTAAATCGGCTGAAATCATGAAATTTAAATCTAAATGATTGAAGGAGAAGAAATGTTTGATTGCTTTTTTAACATTAATAAATTAATTAATAAACAATAATAAAACAAATAATATTAAAAAGGTGTATTAAAATAACATTTAATAAATAAAAATAACCATATATAATAATATGAAAAAATTACCATTTTAGCACGGAAATAAAGATAGTTAAGAGAAGATTGACTAAGAATTGAGAAATTGCGAAGAATGAAGGCAAAAATTGGATGAAATAGAGCCCAAGAGGATAATCGCCTTTTGACCAATTTATCTTTTTATCTAAAATTGTACATTATATATATATATATATACGTATTCGATAATATTTAGTAATATTAGCATTCCACTTAAATAATACGACAGTCAATCATCAAAAATAAAAATTGCCTCGTTCTATTACTCGTCAAAATTACTAGCTATGGAATCTCTTCTTCGCATAATAACAAATTTAATATATTAAAGTTTATTCTAATAATTAAACTGAACAATATTGCGAATTCGTGGAAAAAAAATGGGAGTTTGCCCAATAATTTTTAGTGAAAAACTCGAGAGATAATTTGAGAAATTTTCTTATCAATATTGATAATACAATAATGTCAATAGAAAATAATGAAAATATATGAAATTTAGCAAATATCTTTTAGTTGATATTGTGAAAAAAAGTTTCGCTAGATTTCATTCGACAATTAACCAAGTCTAATTGAATCTATTTTAGCATTCACATATATAATCGCTTGCTTAAACCTAAAATAATATATCATTTGATCGTTTCGCTCCTATTTTTCAGACTATTCATCGAGAAATATTGTTTGGAATTATTTGCAGTCGAAACTAACTGAAATAAAATATTTAAATAAAATATTTTATAAAAATAAAGCAAAATATTTAAAAATATTAAAAATATTAACATTTTTATTTTAAATGTTTAAATAAATCATTTAAAATAAATATAAATTTAATATAAATAAAATATAAAATATAACATTTAATATAAATAATACATATTACATATTAATATAAATAAAATATAAAATAATATAAAATATTTAAATGACAAACAAAAAAAAAGCAATAATCGAAAATCAAACCAAATAATATTTCCCAATTTGGAAAATATAAAATTTAAAAATTTAAAAACGAGTATAATAATTTTTGTATGTCATTTTGGTCGATTAATACAAATTTTTAAAAGTGAATTAGACATAATTTATGATTAAATATGTTAAAATTAATTCAAATTAATTCAAATGATATTTCGTAAAAATAGCCTTTTGATTTTGATTCTTAAGATCGATCCATGCAGAAATACCTCTTCACTGTTGGACGCCATTGATCCATGCCAAATATCCAATATATATTTGATGAAAATTTGCGAGTTTAGCAACAATTCAACTAGTTGATTATCAACTAGCACACTCGATTATATAATATGGTACCTCTTGCATAAATACCAAATCAATGTAGACCACTATTAAATGATTGAAAACAATGCACTCCTTTTTTTATCGGAATTATTTGTAACTGAACTAAGTAAAATAAAATATTCAAATAAAATATTTAAAATAAATATAAATAATAAATAAAAATAAAGCAAAATATATAATATTTTTAAATAGCTATTAGTTTCCTATTAATCCAATCTTGTACCTATATTTTTTAGTTATTTCTATTTTTTTCACCATTACTGGTTAAAGTCGTTCCGCTGGCTCGTCGCACTGGACAATTATGCCAGGAAGTCACTTGGCGATAGAAATACAGGTGAGTCGCTAGCACCATCCGGATTTTTTGGACAGGTTTACTCCGCACTTGACTCTATACAAAAAATACATTGAAAATACCTCAAAATACAACCATTAATGCTTTAAATCACTCACATAAAGGAAAGAA